GTCTTCTGCAGATTTTGAAGTTGTATTTTATTCATTTATCCATTTTCAGGTAAAGAGCATGCACTTCTCATTTGTAATCATCGAAGTGACATTGATTGGCTTGTTGGATGGGTTCTTGCTCAGGTATGTATCACTTATAGTACAATCATTGTGCTCCTTGGATATATTCACTATTACAACATGCTAAATTTTCTTTCAGTTGGTGTTGGCATTGCTCTGGCTTTGTTTGATTCTTAAGTAGAATGGATAAATTGTTTTAAAATTGATCATGTCATTTCTTTATGCTTCTAGTGTAGGCAATTTTATCTCTTTTCTAAATATAGGTGCTTTCAAGTTCACTGCAGCCTTCACTTATCAAGACTAGTTTTTGGATCAAATAATTAAAAAGTGCTTTCAAGTTCATTGCATCGTTCACTTATCAAGACTAGTTTTTGGATCAAATAATTAAAACAAATTGTGCCTGAGATTTGAAATCTATATGCTATGATAAGCTAATGACTCATAAGAAACTATTTGTTCTCTTAAAATAAAGGTTTTTATATTTTGATCTAATGATCAATACCTTGTCTATATTTTAATATTGTTTCAAGAATACATGGTTACAAAATCATGATTCTGAATTAATTTACAAAATTGTGTAATTAGAATTCCTTTTTGTTATAACATATGATTTAGTTTTTCTAAAACATCAATTGAGTTTTAGAAAAATTATCCAAGCATTTTAGTTCCTTTTCTAAGTATAATTTCCTTACATTTTACAGCGGTTTGGTTGCCTTGGTAGCACACTAGCTTTAATAAAGAAAGCAGCTTTATACCTACCGGTGAGATTCTCTTTAGTTGTTCTTATTTATTTTATATAGTACTAATCTCAATTCAATCTTATGTGTTTTTTTAGAATTTACACACAATTCCAAACTTGCAATTTTGTGCTTATTTAGGAATTCAACACAATGAAACATTTTTTTAGATATTCAAAGAGGAGGTTTTGTAGCTACTGAATTTCTTGACTATCAAATGTAATTTTCATTGGGGGAGTCCCCCACCTATTGTACACCTCATTATTGATCAAGACAAAAGTATATAGCTTGCAAGCCAAAAAAAAGAAAAGAAAAAAGAGGTGGTTTTCTTGATAGCATGAATCCTATTAAATTAGTTGTTCTATTGCTCTAAGGTACTTTGAGAAGTACTATAAATTGAGACTTTCGAATCTAAGACTATCTATATAAGCCTAGTATTTGGAACATAGTATCTTGTCTAATTGTTTGAGTATTTTATTGGTTAGAATGGAAATTTTTGTTCCAGAGTCATTGTAGTTCTTTAAATGACCTATTTAAGAAATATTTGGGTCTCCTGTTTAGTAGAACGAGTCAAAGTTGAGGCTAATAATCATTACATACGTATTTCAAAGTATTACAAATTACATGAAGGAGTCATGTGGTATTTAATTGTTACAATATTTGCTATGACTATCAATAGTACAACATTTATTAATGATTGGTAGAGGTAAGTCAAGGTGTTTTCTCGAGATTTTTGCTTACTTTAAGAGACAAATATGCTTTCACAATCTGGGTCGGTCCTTTATTTCCAAGTGAATGGCGCGTGCTCGACAAGATTATAACATATTTATAATATTTACTTTTCACGGTAGATTTGGTACCCTTAATTTTCCTTCATTGGATATTGTTGTAAGTGATGAATGGGTGTTCTAATCTTTTAATTTTAGAATACGTTTGCAATTGATTCAACTTCTGGGTTCAGGAAAAACTACCTTTGAATTGTTTCTTAAAACTTGAATAGGTCCTTTTCAAGTTATAACATAATAAATGTAGATAATAATAAAAAAGAGTGTACTTGAAATAGTACCACACAAACATGCTAATTAGGCAAGAAAGAAATCTCTCTTATGTAGGTTCTTGGATGGTCAATGTGGTTCAATAATTATATATTTCTTGAAAGAAGCTGGACAAAAGATGAGTATACACTCAAGGTACTTTTCCAATACTAACCATTGTATTTATTAATTGTACATCTTTATGTTTGGTTAATAAATTGTATTATTTTGCGGTGCTTAACTGCAGTCAGGTTTACAAGGTCTTAACGATTTTCCTCAGCCATTTTGGTTAGCCCTCTTTGTGGAAGGAACTCGTTTTACGCAAGCAAAGCTCTTAGCAGCTCAAGAATATGCTGCTTCAGCAGGGTTACCTGTTCCACAAAATGTATTAATACCCCGAACAAAGGTGATGCTTTTCCTAAATTATACTAGGATAAATATGTCTAGTTTCTATCTCGTTCTAAAATTAGTTATTATATCCCAATTAGTAGTAGATCTTGGGCATTTCTCTTTATGTGGTTGCATGTAGCTTGCAGTATCAATCTTCAGTTTCAATTCTATTATGAAAAATACTACATAAAGTACATGCAAACTTGACAAGATTAGGTTTTCTCAAAGATGAGCTGCCAATAATAATTTGAAACAACTTGTAATGATCAAATTGAGCTAGTCATATCAAACACACCATGAAAAATAACTGATTGTGATGATTCTTTTATTCATTACATCTGTATCTCTGCAGGGTTTTGTGTATGCAGTTAGTCAATTGAGCTCATTTGTTCCAGCAATTTATGATATCACGGTAACCATACCTAAAAATGAGCCTCAGCCTACAATGTTGAGAATCCTGAGAGGGTGTTCTTCTGTGGTAAGCTCACTAGTTTTCAATTGACTAATTTAATTACTAGTAAAATTGCATTTGCAAACACACAAACCCCTAACCAAGCACACAGTTCTCTCTAAATGCTTGTGAGCTTCACAAACACATATGTTGGTAAGATTACTTTAATGCAGTTCTTTCATTTATCTATTTTTCCAACTAATCTGGCTTAAGTGACTGTAACAATTGCATTACCTTTTTTAGTAGTAAGGGGGATATGCTACTTTCTCTATATTTGGTCTTTTAAGTTATTAGTATTGTTTTCTCTATTTTCTGTCTTTTGATATTAATATTCAGCCATAGATGTTATTAGCTTGTGTTTATTAGTAGAGTGAGTATGAAGTTCTTAGAATTTGGTACTTTCAATTTAAAGGATGATGCTAAGCATCTATATTTGAATGAACATGTTCAAGTGAAAATCCTTCAAGTGTTGAGTGGTTATGTACATTAATTACTATTTTCACTTATATTGATGTTGATTTAGCAAACTAATTTCCTATATAGGTACATGTGCATATTGAGCGGCATTTGATGCAAGAACTGCCTGAAACTAGTAGCGGCATTTCCCAGTGGTGTAAGGATATATTTGTAGCAAAGGTTAGACTATTGATAATGCAATGAATAAATTTCTTCTTTACAATGATGATCTAGATAATTTTTCAATTAGTTTTTCACTCCAAAATTATGATGAACAAATATGACCATGTTTATGTTTACACACACACACACACATATTCCATTTAAACTCCAAAAAGAAAGTATAATTTTAATCTCCTACAAGGGCATAAAAATCTTGGCCAAGGAATGAGTTTCAGTTCAGCATTCAATGTAAGTTAGATTTGGATCTATCAATTTCTATATTCTATTTACAACGTGTGCATAGATTTTATGAATATATGAAAATGTCATGTATCTAATACATGTGCATGTTTGTGTGATTATTTTGATTCTTCAATGTAGGTAATAGATGAATTACAAGTTACATCAGATTTGATGTAAAATCTTTATTTCACAATATTTATAGTCTTTATTTATAAACTATCCACATATCAAATATATTTATCTATGATATGTTCATTTATCATACCATTTTTTTTACACATTTTTTAGTAGGTTTCAAGTTTTAAGGAATTAAGTATGTCTAGTTCAGTCTTACCCTTGATGATGAAATATCAATATTCAAATCTTTGCTGGTTGTGATCAATCAGGATGCTTTGTTGGAGCGGCATGTTGCCATGAACACATTTGGTAATAAAGATAACTATCATATTGGCAGACCTATAAGATCATTGCTGGTACTATTTCCCCCCTATAGCTTGCACAAGTTTGCACATTCAGTTTGAGTTGTCATCTTTTGTTTGCTATATTCAGTCTATAATTGTTTTTTTGTGGATGGATAGGTTGTCATCTCTTGGACCTGTTTCCTCATATTTGGCGCTGTCAATTTTTTTGAATGGTGTCCATTTTCTTGGGGAGAAATTGCATTTTGTACTGTATTCTTGGCCCTTGTTGTCGTCCTCATGCAAATACTGATTGTGTTTTCCCAGTCAGAACAATCAACCCCTGTTAAGGAATCCCCTCGAAATTCTTTGGAGGAAAAACTTCTTCACATTTGAGCTGCTGCTAATCACAAAACCTACTTGCCAATGAAAAAATGAAGAAGATTTTTGTCCAACGAAAAAAATTAAAAAAATTGGTTAGCTCAATTAGTTAACTAGGAGAGATTAAATCTTCTTCATTTTTTCATTAACTAGAGGGGGAAGTAGCTGTTTAGCCAAGCATCCAGAATGGGAGGAAGAGTGGTTGTTAATGTTGTTTAACATCCTATTGGTCATTTCTTCTATATAAAACCTCATTTCTATTATATGGGGAGGTTATCATCCTCTAGTTAATGTGTTATATCTTATTTTATCTTGACTTGGTTATGTTATTTTGTACTACTTATAAATGCACAAGTTTTATGTACACCATAAGTTATTAAACCGACCTAACAGGAACTCGATGAAAGGGATAGATCAATGGATTACTATTTAGTCAATGGGTGAGTATTTGAACCAATGAATCATTAAAATATAAATTTTAAATTAAATAGAGTACTGCACTTTTTTTTTTGAAAAATGTATTTCACTTTTTCTAGTACAAGATATATGGTATAAATATTACAAAAAATGTATTATGGCAAATGTCTAAACAATTTTCAATAACCTTTTTTTTTGGCTAACCCCATGTGTAGGGAAGGACGCCACCCCCATGTATTATTAATAACCACAAAGCAAGATAACAAAGGCATTAGTTACGAACAGCTTGCTTGCGTATGACGGGGGTCTGTGATCTATCTAAACCCAAGGCTCCCCTTGCCAATCTTGGTAATTCCGCCTGTGAGGTATAAATGACAATACCCGCAGAGTTTGCCCCAGCCTTGGCCAGAGCATCTGCCACTTGATTTGCCTTGCGAAAACAATGCCCCACTGTCCATTCCAAACCCTGTATTGCCATTAACATATCTAACTCAAATCGAATTAACCACGGGCATCTCGATTTATGTAGAAGGATGTTTACTAACACTAGAGAATCCACCTCCACCTGTATCCGTGAGAAGCCTTGAAGAAGACATTGCTAACCTCAGCCTGAATACATGTCAGCTCCCCAAAAGGTACAGAAAACCCAAACAACAACGCACCAAATAAATCCCTAAGCACATCACCCCCGTCACTAACTCCCGGGTTACCTAGTAAACAGCCATCCGTGTTTAACTTCCAACTTCCCTGGGCCGGCAACTCCCAACAAACCATCCTATGGGAGTACCGAGGCCTCCATTTAGAAATACTGGAGTAGAAGGCAGGCCAGGACCTAAACCCATCAGGCTCCCCTCCCATCTTCCCCACTTAATACCCCAACTGCATCCGCCAGGATAAAATCACAAATGGTCTGCCTACGTAGGTACTGTCCTTCAAAGATTGCAAGATTCCGTGCTAACCAAATATGCCAGTAGATTATGCTAGACAACACTGTGTTTAGCGATTCCATACAATAGTGACGTTTCATTTGACACCACCAACCAGCCCGTCAAGAGCGCACTCCTGCCCCTTTGTATACCACACTCGCAGCGTTCCCAAAAAATGCCCAAAGGAACTGCACAGGTTCTCCCTCCGTAAAAATGTGTTCCAACAATTTGGACTGTGAGTTTGTACAACAAAAGCACTTTGATGGGCCATGCACATTCAATCTTTGTGACGCCCCGAAAAAAAAATGAGTTTGAGAACCCGAAAATTTTCTAAATTTCTAGGATTTATTTTATTTAATCGCCCGCCTTTTCTACATTTTCTTGATTAGAAAAATTCCCCAGATAAAGTTTATGAGCAAAGATAGTTTTAAAATGATTTTTCTAGTATCGATTAGTTTTTGAGAAGTTAAGAGCGTATTTTGAACGTGGGACCCGCTAGTGCGGTAAATGCATTATATTTTTGACAACTTGTTGGAATTTTGTATTAAGTGATATTATTTTACAAGGTGTTAAGATATTTGTCTTGGAGAGACAAGAAGATAATCTCAAGCTTAAAGGGTGACAAGTGTCACCTTGTTATTGAAGGTTGGACTTTGACATTTGACCATCTTACTACCTTTACCAAATAAGTACCAAATTGATCCAAAATTACCTTCATTCTTCATCATCTTGGCTGAGCTTCACAAGGAGAAAAGAAAGGAAAGCTTTCATCTTACTTCTTCATTTCTTGCTCCAATCAAACAATTTAACCGATTAAACTTGGATTTCCTCCATAAAACCTCTTAGTTTAGTGGTATTAAGGTTGGTTGTGAAGTGGTTTGGAAGACCAAGGTGCTAAGTTGCTTCTTTTCTTGGGTTTGTAAGGTAAGTGACTAAGGAACCTTTCCTTTGATCTTGATAATGTTCAATTAGTGATTGGTGGTGGTTGAATAAGTGATTTTATGGTTGATTTCCTGATTTTGGTTGAAAATGATGAAGTTTTATTATTTTTGGGGATTTTTCTGTTTTCATATGGATATGATTATGGGGTCATGTATGATGATTGGAAATGATGTTTAATGACTCTAGGAGGTGGAAAAAGTGATTAATTGCAATCAATTTCTGTTTTGGAAGGAAAAGTGGAAAACTAGGTTTCAATGTTCTTCATTCTGTCCGAATTTATAGCTCATAGATAGAGGCCGAATTGGCCTTGGCTTAAAACATGAAAGTTGTAGGGAATGACATTTTAAAGGTGCCTACAAAATTTCAGGTCAATCGGAGTAGTGTGGAATGAGAAAAGTCGAAATTACTATTGCTGTTCTGGTTTTACCAGAAAATTGAGAAGTGCGCCTGTAATTGGTTGTTTTGGCTGCAATTGCTTCCGAATTGGTTGTTGAGGCCTTCTGATGAAATTTATCCCTGTTTCTTAGCTTTCAGCTGGTTTTGGAATTTCTAGATTTGGACTTGGATAGCCTGATTTATGATGTTTCCGCTGGAATGCGTTCTGTGAATCTGTTTTTCCGGTTCTGGTGTAGTTTCTTGCATTTTCGACCTGGTTACACTCGAAACTGGGTTGAGTGACCTTCTGTGATATTGTAGCCCTATCTCATGGTTTAGAAACGGTGTATCTTGCACCTTCATCCGACAATCGTAGTGCCTTTGGTGCCATTACCGCAAAAGGATGTCAAAAGCTATTTTTCTGGTTTTGTGCTTAACCTTCATTTCCGAACTTTTCCCTAGCTTGACTTGTACTAGTACTACTTGGAGCTTGCTGAATGACTATTGGATGAACTTGTTGTTGTGTGTGTACCTTTGGGACTGGCTGAGGAAATAATGAAGCCATGATGGCCGGAAAAGTTAGCAAATTCAGGGGAAGTGCTGTCCGAACTTTGAAGGGACTTGTTTGCATTGAATTTGTGATCTAAGACTTGGATTTGAGCAAGGCAATGTTATATGATGGATGATTCTGAGCCATGGAGGTGAGTGACCCCAAACTATTGTTAAAGCTTCTTATGAAATGTTTCTTGCATTATTTACTCGACTGCATCTCATGCGTGCTTGCATGTGAATTCATGATATGATTTTGGCTTCAATGAGTTCTTGGGGAGTCTTGTGCTAGACACCAACGTCTCCACCTCTGTTTACTTGGAGCAAATGGCTCTGGAGCTCAAAAAGGGGCTCCCTCTTAATGTTAATGTTAATGTTAAATGATCTATTTGAGCGTTGGGTGTTCAAGTACTATGATTTCACTGGCTCACGAGAGCAATAAACGGACATTTGTTCTTTGAATCATGACATCATCGAAAGGATCGAAATGCAATATTGTGAAATATATTTGATTACTGATTTTACTGGTTACTCGCTGAACTTCTAGCTCACCCCAAAAATGTTTTATTTCCCTCCACAGGGCTCGTGGCGAAGGAAGGCTTGTTGTGCTTATTCACGTGAATAGATGGCCTATATTTTGTACAATTTGGATTTGAAATCATTTTATGTATAGTTGAAAATTGTTTTCGCTTCGCTTGTGACATGTAATTATTGGAGACTTGGATGTGTAATTGTGGGAACATTTGATGTAATTTTTGAGATTTATATTGTAATCTGTTTGAAGAATGTAGTGAACGACTGAGTCCCGGCGAGAGCTGGGCAGGCGACCCGCCGAACCCTTTGGTACGCCCTAGGGGGAAGTGGGGCCGTAACAATCTTCCCAATGAAGATGCTAAAGGCAACCGATCCCGCAACAGACGCACCATGAAAAAAGATATCTTGACGAACAGCAACGAATGCCAAACCCTGTAAAACATGAATGAAGAAGGTGTCTGCCCACTAAGTAGAAGGTAGGATGAAGCAATCGAAAATTCCCCTGACTCCGTCAACCCCCATACCACACAATCTTATGCATTCCCCGCTGGGACTACTTTACTGACAATCTCTGAAACAATATAATCCGAGACCCATTGCCTCAACAAACGTTGATTCCACCATCCATTTGACACAAAGTCAACTACCAAGTGATCCGAGACACTTTGCAGGCGCTGGCACAATGGACCGAACCCAAGCCAATTGTCAAACCAGAAGTTACACTGCCCTGATCGCACCAACCACCAAAGGTTTTGCTCTGCCACCTCATGTACCTGTAGCATTCGACGCCAAACATATGAGCTGCCCTTTAGTACTCCTACCATGCATGGATGACTATGTCGACAATACTTGGCATGCATAAATGTCGACCATAAACAATCACTCGTTCGGAATCGCCACCATAATTTGATCGAGAATGCTGAGTGAACCTCCAATAACGAGTGAACACCTATTCCTCCCTGTGACGAGTTGGCACATAAATCTTGCCATTTGATCCAGTGATGACGGGGGCCATTCTCCCGCCCTCCCCAAAGGAAGTTAGCCATAGCCAGCTCAACCAAGGCAAGGACTCCCTTCAGAGGACTCGAGGCCGTAAGCAGGTGAATCAGAATTGCTAAAAGAACATGCTTGATGAGTATGACATGCCTCCTACTAGAAAGACATCTGGACCTCCAAGAGGAGATTTTATTAATGACTGATTGCACCAACTCCATGAAATACATGCTCTTTCGCCTTCCAGAGAATAGCAGGTAGCCCAAGTAACACACTGGGAATGACTTAGGAGCAAACACAGTTACTCGCCATACCCTCGCCACACAACGGCTAGGAAGTTTCTCATGCACCAAGAAACTACACTTTTGAGCATTAATCTTTTGGCCTGATACTGCTTCGTATGCTCCAATCGTCTGCATGACACATCGTGGCAAGGTGGGACAGGCACTGGGAAAAATAAGGATGTCATCTGCATAGAAGAGATGAGTGATCTTAGGGCATGTGACGGCCCCACCTCCCCCTAAGGCGAACCAGAGGGTTCGGGGGGCCGCCTGCCCAGCTCTCGCCGGGACTCAGTCGATCACTACAATCCTCAAATGAATTACAATATAAATCTCAAATATACATCACGTGGTCCACAAACATACATCCAAGTCTCCAATAATTACATGTCACAAATGCAGCGGAAACTGATTCCAATCGTGGAATGTATACATACATCCATATCAATTTCAAATATTTATACAAAACCAACTCGTACATAAAATAGATCCAAACTTAAACTGTACACGATATAAGCCATCCAGTCACGTGAATAAGCACAACAAGCCCTTCCTTCGCCTTGAGCCCTGTGGGGGGGAAATAAAACATTTTTGGGGTGAGCTAAAAGCCCAGTGAGTAACCAGTAAAATCAGTAATCAAATAGTTTTCACAAAAATTCATTTCATTGATGTCATGGTTCAGAAATCAGATGTACGTATTTTTGCTCTCGTGAGCCAGTGAAATCATTGTAATGTTTTAGAAGTTCAATAAGTAACCGGGGGTAAAAATGTAATTTTGTTACAGGTCAACATTTGCACAGTGAGAGTAAAACAAAAGCAGAAAATGACACCACATGGTAATTCCACAAAGCTCAATGAGCTAAAATCTCAATAAGGTTCCGAACATGAAATTTCATAACAAAGCCAACACATTAACCATCAATAATCAATAATCAATAATTCAAGAAACATTTACAATGGAAAGCGATAGTAACATATTCATTAAAAGGATACCGCTCACATGGAGCTATTCATTTGTTCGTTCCCCTGACATTTCCCCTTATTCCTCCAATTATTTGAAAATTTCATTTTTATAAATAAACCCTCGTTCATCTTTTTATTCGTTCATCCCCTTTTCCGGACGTTGACCGGACTCCACCCATCCGACGTTGGCCGGACTCCACCCATCCGGACGTAGCCGGACTACAAGGTAATACTCGAGTATACCAAATTCACCCAGGGTCACCATATCACCCGACCGAGTCCGCTTCTGGCTCGA